CTTAAATTTTAATTCGGCCGGCATCCTGATATCATCGCAGTGATTTTGCCACTGAATCTGCCACCTGGGTCCATCCCAGATCCATGCCCGCTCCCAGGGGCATTCAGCGCACCTCTTTTCGAAACCAGGAGTTTTCTGTCTTAAGAAAATGGCCACCGGAGCACTCTGGGGGTGGACCTGGGTGGCAGATTTGGCGGCAAAATCACTGCGATAATATTAGGATGCTGCCTGAATTAAAATTTAAATCAGAAGAGGTATGCAGATTTGAAAAGCGGTGCGATAAGCTTCATGGCTGAGTAGGGAATCAAACCATGATCTCCAGACTCACAGCCCAATACTCAAACCACTATGCCACCCTGAAGCTAAAGGCATACTCTTTCCTTGTTTACTTTCACCATAATAACCCTCTTTTCATCCTTCCTCCACTCTTGGTTAGTTCTCCTGTGCCAAATTTTGGGTTGCAGTCTCTTTTTGCTGGGGATGGGGCCTGTCCTCTTCTGCCCTATAAAGGGAAATGAGGAATCAGAGGGAGAGGAGAGTATTAGAGCTCAAGTATTTTGTAGACAGAACCCTAGTAATATGAGATCACCCCAGATAATAGAAACTGCCTTATACTACTAGGTCAGATATTTGTCTATCAAGCTCAGTATTGTCTGTGGCCTTCCAGGAAACCTTTCACCTTTTCCTGACTGAACATTTCAATATGATGGCCATGAGTCCTGCTTTCCAGTGTTCTGTTTGGAGGTCTGTCAGGGGGACAGTCCTGTATTTGAAGTTGTCCACTGTTTTGAAGCACTGTCAAATTTAAGTCTTGTTTAAACACAGAGAAGCCCAAGGGAAGGAGAGGTGAGGCTATAAAGTTGCCTACCAGCAGTTTGCACCTGGGCAGCAGACTAGAATGGGGAAAACACAAGTCATCTGCTTATGATCTTCCCCACTATCATGAGCTGTATTGTCTTTCCAGTTCAATTAATTATTGTTTTTAAATCTGCATCTATCTATATAGATTAGTACAGTTGGAGTCCATGGTTTGGAATATTCACGGAGGGGCGACCTCCGTTAAAATCAATGGGGTGCGCCCTGTGGGCACACACCATTCAAGCCTATGAATATTGCCGAATCTCCGTGTTTTTTTTTGGGGGGGGGGTTCCACAATGGATCCCCTGCGAAAACGGAGGGCCAACTGTATATGTAAATATTATATAGGTCAGCACCCTACATAATATTTTGTTGATGACTCTTCCTCCTTGTAATCTGTAAGTGACTACTCTATTTCTTAGTAATATATTCGAGGCCTCTGCAGTACAAGAGCTATGTATTTTAATATAGTCCAATGTGTTTGGTTTTACTACAGTGGACCCTTGGCATCCACTGGGATTAGGTTCTAGGATGCCTCGTGGATACCAAAATCCATGGATGCTCAAGTTTTATTTAATACAATAGTTCAGTAGGATGGTATCCCTTATATAAAATGGCAAAATCAAGCTTTGCTTTTTGGAATGTATATTGTTATGGATATTTTCAAACCATGGATGGCTGAATCTGTGGTTCAAGAATCTGTGGATGCGAAGGGCTGAGTGTATGTTGTAAGCCACCTTGAGTCCTGGTATTGGCGAAGTTGGGGATGATGATGAAGATGATGATAGTAATAATGGGATCCTGAATATAGAAGCTCAGCTCTTCCAGAAATGAACACCTCTTAGAGTGTTGTATGCAATTTTTTTAGGCAGATCAGCCACGTTCTTATGGAAGGAAAGGCATGGAGGCAGCTTGTGCGACATTCTGGCCCTTGATTATGGAACATTTCACTGCCTGAGCCCAAATGTGACTTTCCGAAGCAGCAAAAGCGCAAGGTGTCAGAAGGGGCAGGATGTGACATGCTCAGCTTTGCAGATTACTGGCGCCAGGGAGGTGATTCACAGCCTCAGATGCACATGCCTGCTTCTCAAGGCCCGGATGAGTTTGCCTGGGATCGGAAGTTGTGCTGTAGGAAAGAAGCCTATCCACAGTTAACACACAGAGGGACCCATCAAGGAGTGGACAGACAAAGAAACGGTTAGATATGTTGTTGAATTTAAAAAAAAAATCACTCTTCCCACTTCCTTGATAAAAAGGAGTAGAAGGGAGAATAAAGGAATTGGGGGGTGGGGAGTGCGGAGCAAATGTTAGCAGCTGGTGGCCAGTTTTCCCAGCGTCCGTTGTTGGGACACCCTGACAGCTGCTTCCTGCAGCTTGCTATCTCATGTGCTCATCTTGAAGGATGTGGTACCAGCACACACGCCCCTGTTCCAGCCCTTCTTGCCTCCCAAACGGTCTGTTTCCTGCACCAGGACACTGGCCCATGCCTTCTTTCTCACGACCCGCCTGAGGGACAGCTGGTCTTCTTGAAACAGCTACATAGGACCAGACCAAGAAAACCACAGTAACAAAATAGCCTTGTTCTCATCCTGCTCTTCTCTTTGCTCTCTTTCATCATTTTTTTTTTTGACCTGCAATAAAAACGTGGTATGGGTACA